TCAGCGGGTGGTGAGCAATTGCATCGTCCATCACTTGCTTTGTATATTCTTCTATTATTATTATTATTATTATTATTATTACTACTATTATTACTATTACTACTATTTTAATTAATTTTATTTCAATTATTAAACTGTTCTTATCTCAACCCATGAGTTTTCTCACTTTTACTCTTCTGATTCTCTCCCCCATCCCACTGGGGCGGGGGGAGTGAGCGAGCGGCTGTGTGGTGCTCAGTTGCCGGCTGAGGTTAAACCATGACAACCATTTAAAATTACTTGCTCTTGTTTTTGGAGCATCTTAGTGGAAAAGCATTTCCAAGCTTTTTTGTCTGTATCCAGGAAAAAAAATTAACTTCAGATCCTCAAAGATATTTAAGTATCATTTATTTAATTGTGATCAAATAACTTAAATCTTTTGTGGGTCCTGGTCTCAGTCTTTGAGAAACAAATCCTGAATTTCTCAAATGGCACCATAATTTCAAAAGCTGTCTCTCTTGCAAGACTCAAAATAAAATCGTTGGTGCAAGCAACTCACATTAGCAAGCACAATTGTGACTGAAGAGAAACCCCTTCCTAGGCGTATCTTGTGGTTTTCACCCTGTGGTCTGTGGTCCCTGAAGTAATTTATAGACTGACTTTGAAGAGTTTCTTGAGGAGAAAAAAAGTTACCAGGCTTAAATTCACCATGAATGGGTTTCCCATCCGCACTGGAAAAAACCATTGAAGGTTGAAAACCACTTGTAAACAACAGGACAAGGTCTTCAGCCTGCTGGTGTTCCTCTTACATGATGCCTCCTGACAAATTAGAAACAGCAAAGGGCTAATTAACAAAGACACAGAGTTTCCAAAGGAGTAGCTGGGCACTTCTACCTGGGGACCTGCTCCACCAAGCTCTGCCTTGCTTGGCCAGCAGTACCCCTGTACCCCAGCAGTTCCCACTCTCTACTACTCATTTCTTCTTCTCAGACTGCAAGGTTTTGCAGGGAGAGGCTGTTTCAGAACTGCTTTTCCCTCCCCTCCACAGCCCTCTATCATTTTCAGCTCAAACTTATGACATCCACCTTTGCATTAAAGAGGACTTGTTCACTTTCCTTGTCTGCTTTCACTTATCGGCTTAGTGCAACGGCAGGCATTATTAAACACTGCTCCTCGCTTGTACAATGCAATCCTGGATGAGTGAATGCTCGCATTGTTGGGAGCCCAGTAGAAATCATAGAATCATCTTAACATCAAACAGGCTTATTGGATTTCACTGTAATGCCAACAAGCTGTCACTGTTAGAACAAACCCTGCCTAGGCATCACTCGTGACTATTTACAGGCAGGAAGAGCAGATCTGGGAGCACTGAACAGTAAACTGAAAGACTATGAAAGAGAAGCATCAATTACAAAAATTAATTGTGGCCCCATTGGCATTGGCTTAGGAAGTCCCTGATAGGAACAGCCCTGCATGAAGCTTGCCCTTGTAACAACAACTTTCAAGACTCAGGAGTTGTTGAATGAAGTTATTTGTGTGTAAAACTTGAGAAATTATAGTTGGTCAGCATGAGCCAAGCACCAGCGGCTGAGTGAGGATACGGAGGCTGTTCCTTTCAGAGAATAGAAGGCTACAGTGTGCCATTTGTAGGGCCCTGGCCACTGCATTTCACTTTAGTATCTCTGCATCATTCAATAATTTGTATTTAACTAAAGCATCTCTTCCAGAAAGGCCTTTGGAGTCTCAATCCAAAGGCTGGAAAAGACAGACAGTAATATACCCTTTCTTTACTAGTAGTATTAAACTCTGACAGTTGTCAAAGGGTGAGTGATGTTGCAGATAACTGGTTACGTTTGTTTTAGTGATGCACTGTTCCTATGCTCCTTGTTCTGTAAGGCTAAGAGCTGTCTGAATCCGTGCCTTGGCATCTCAGGCCTGTCCAGGTCCTCACAGAAACAGAAGCTTATCTTGTGGTACTCTGGGACTGGCTTCTCCCTTTATGCTCTGGCTCGCCTCTTACAAGGCAGCTTTGCTCTCTGATGGGTTGTATTCTCACTCCACCCTCCAAATAGAATAGCCAACACAGATACGTCTGAATATCTCTGTAAGTGGGATTAAGGAATTTTGCTGCCTCTATTGCGTTCAAAAAAATTTTCCCAGTGCCACTTAGACAGAAATTCAGTACCTCCTTTACCTTCCCATGTAAAGCCTGTTGACAGTGTAAGAACCAACATAGCTGCGATTGTACATGGTCTTGCCGTGTCATGCATAGGTACAAAACATTTCAGCTGAGCCTAATCCAAACAGGTGAAACCCCGCTATGCACCAGAACAGCCCAGCACAGCTGCTGGAGGTAAAGCCCCTCTATTCACAGTCTACCACTTAACAGTTATTTAGTATTACGCTAGTGCATGGGAAACTTTTGCAATGTAACCTGTACTGCACTCAGAGTTCTGCCCTAATCAGTTTGCTATTGATAGCTCAAGAAAGCTAAAGTCACTCCAACCTTATTGTGTGGGGCCCTACATGATTGCCCAAGGTCACAAGAAACCAAAGGCAAAGCAAAGTAATTGCCCTTCTGTGTTATAGTTTGAGACATGTAATTGATTTACATCTCTTTGGTTGACTGCTATGAATGACAATTTGAGCGGAGCATGACTTTAAAGGAACATGGAGCCCTTCTCACCTACCAACAGAGACGGCACTGGCCAGAGGCACTGAGCAGGCACCTAAGGGAACTGGGAGATGTGGCTGCAATCTGGTTTTTCTCCCCACAAGTTGCTTTACTGTCATGTCCAGTGTTAATGGAGTTGTTAGGGAAGGAGAGGTAGTACAAGACATACATGAGGGGGACTTTATTAGAAGTGAGAGACCTCCTGCCCCCTGCAAACTTCAGACAGCATGGGAACCACTGTGGTAAGTCCTATCCCAGTCAGTGTTTGTGCGTATTTAGGAACCCACGTATGGATGCATTGCTAAAATCAGGGTATTTAACACACCCTCATTTTTTGTTCATTGGGACCTCTGCAGCACAAGACCAGCCTGTAAAGTTGCAAAATGCCCTGTGTGCGGCGATAACTACCCAAGCAAATGTGCTTCCCCCTTTTTCACAGAGTATCGATCCATGAGCAAGGAATATATGTGCTTCCCTTTCCCCTCTGCCAGCCCTGCCAGCCACCTTCTTGCTCTCCAGTTCACTTTCTGCTCCTGCCCAGTAAACAGTCAGTCCACAGCTCAGAAGCAATGTTGTGCGATAGAGTAAATCGTCTTTCTTGTTCTTCTCTCCCTTCATACATCTTCTTTCCTTCTCTATTTGATGCAGGGACTGTCTGGGGTAATTCTTGAGCCCATTATGCAAGAATTCTGACTAGATGATCTTTAATGAACCTCTCCAGCCTATGAAAAATAATCTGCACTTGGTACAATCCTATTTGCTGAAATGGAAGTGAGTCAGCAGAGATGTCATGTCTGCTGTACACAGACAGGCAGACCTGGCCACTTGGAGATAAAGGCTAAGTAAAAGCATTTCTATAGAAACACATACCCGTGTGTCTAGATTATATGCTGTCTTCTTTAAATCCTGCAACGCCCTCTGCATGAACTCAAACGCATGGCAGTCAACACAGGGACGACCTGGAAAAAGGTACAGAAGAAGACATCACTGTCACGGCATGAAATCTGGAGTGTGGCAGTACAGAGGGAGACTACTCAGAGACCTTGCAATGCCAGGAGAGAACCCATTTTACCAGGCACCCACACCTGCATGTGTACAAAGTTAGGGCTGCCTGTGGACAGGACTGTATCTATCCTTGTGCAAATATCTAAGGACCAGCAAAAACACAAGAGCATTTTGCTGTGTGTGCTTTTCTGAACATAGCCCAGGCTTGACTCTGCCTGGTGCTGTGTGCCTTCAGCCCCCAGCTTCTCCCCTTAAAATGGAAAACCTCAACACTTCTCAGACATGGGTTAATTCTCAACTGATACACTGAAAATAGCAGTTTGCAGTGGTTCAGAAACCAGACAGGCAGGTCTGTTTTTACAGGAGCTCTTACAGAGCAGCTTGGCAAGGGAGATTGCCAGATCTGTATTTGCTTCCTTTCACCTGCTGCTGTATTTTTGCTCTGCCAGGAATGCAAAGCATCCCACTGGCTCTGCAGCTGGTGCCAGTGTGCGTGCACAGAGGGGCAGGGCAGGGAAAAGGCAGAGAAGAGGAGGAGGAAGGGACCTGATAACAACTAAAATGGCTCACTTCTGGACCTGGGCATTTCTGCTCTGCCAGGATTCACCCTGCACTAATCTCAGGCCCTTTCGTTCAGTCACAGAGTTAATGAAGTGTGGGTTTTCAGAAGAAGAAATTGCAGATACTGGAGGAGATGCAGGGGGAATGGGGAGAGAGGGCATTCTACATTGATCACAGAGCCCCCATGGGGGGGGGGGGGGGGCGGGGGGCGGCGGGGGCCGGTGATGCACGGA